AAGAAGTTATAAGTTAACATGATTTTGTGAGTTTTCACATCCTTTGTATTGAGATGCTTTTAATTATAAAATACATATAACCTTTTCCATGGTTAACCTTTTATTTAAGACATAAAGAGACAAAGACCAAAAAAAGGGAAGAAAGAGATCCTTACTGAAGTCAATTAGGAATCTGCCATAGCCCTTACGCTGGTATTGTGGAAGAATCATTATACAGGAAACATTGTACTTCTGTTGGCAGTGTTTCTCCTGTTGGAAAAGCAAGAAAAAAAAGAAGCGGATTTTAAAAACAAAAGACCAGTGAGAAGCAGGAGAAGTTTTTCTGTGCAAGGGCATAAATACTTTTATGGCAGAAAGTGAAAATGAAAGCCAAAGTCAAGAGGAAAGGCTGCAATAGAAAAGGTAGAACAGTATCAAATCCGTCACCATCATTAAAACCACTAGTTCAGGAAAACAAAACAAATGAGACTTACATTAACTACCTTCCACTTAGACCCACTACAGTAAAGGACATGGGCTATATTACAGTATTACAGTGAATCTTTAAGTATTGCAGATTTAAAATCATAACAAAGGAATATATTTTCTCAGATCTGCTGTTCTGAACATTAAAAAAAAGGTCCAAATTACTCTAATACTTGCCTTGGAGAAGTAGCCAACAAGGTGACAGCCCTTGACATCATTCTGTGTCAGCACGTAGAAAAGAAATGGCTCCACGTCGTAGTAGAGGGTCTTATGGTCCAGGAAGAGTTTGGCTAACAAGCACAAATTCTGGCAGTAAATAGTGCTGACATTGCCATCGACCTTATGGAAATGAAGAAAAATGTCATTTCATTTGCTGTCATGCAAGGACCTGCTTTATCTGAGTACCCGTGTAGCTCTGAAGCTTCTAACATGACTTCAACACCAAAGGTAACATCTCATTTTCCTAACTTACCTCAAAGACTGAAACATTGTTTTTTCGGTAAATTTCATTGGCTGGAGGATGAAACCAGCCACATTTTTTCATATGCTGCTGGAGAATAGTTCTGCTTTTCATGTATTTTAGACAGAATTCACAAAGATACAGCTTGGGTAGCCT